TTTAGTCTTTTACTATTTAATAATTACTTTATTTCTTAGATTCATCTTTTATTTTAAGTTTTTTTTTACCAAATTTGAACAACATGTTTATATACCACAATATAATACTTATATTATTTCAATTTTTCTTTTTGATAATAATTTTTTATTTTTTAATTTATTCCCTCAATTTTTTATAATTTCCTTATTTCTTCAATTCATTCTTTATTTTAAGTATGTTTTTACCAAATTTGAATCATATACTCATATACACAACCTATATAATTTCAATTTCTACATTTTTACTAAAAATGTACTTTTTTTTATTTATTCCCTTAAATTTGCATTTTACTCAATTTTTATCTTTTGACTACAATTCGAGTTACTCTATGTACTAATTTTATTATAATTATTTATAATGTTATGACAATGATTTGTTTCGATTTTTTTGACTTTATTAACCATAATATATATTATATTCTTTCATATTATAATGTTATTTAATATATCAAATATAATCTATAATTATGAAATATATTCATAATATTATATTTTAAATAAATTATTTTGAGGATAAAATATTGATGAGAATATAAATGAGTCAAAAAATTATGAGAATAAAGAATTTGTAAACAATTGTAGTCAAAAGATTAAATTGAGTAAAGTTAAGGACCAAATAAAAAAGAGAGTACATATTTAGTAAGAAAAATAAAAATTGAAGTTACATACGTATTCTATTGTGGTGTATGAGCATGTGGTTCAAATTTGGTAAAAAGAGACTTAAAAATAAATAACAAATTGAAGGAATAAGGAGATTATGAAAAATTGAATGACTAAATTAAAAAATAAAAAATTAGTTATCAAAAATAGGAATTGAAAGTACACATGTATTTTACTATGGTTTAGGAGCATGTGGCTCAAATTTGGTAAAAAAACAGACTTAAAATAAATGACGAATTGAAGAAATAAGGAAATTACGAAAAATCGAATGACTGAATTGAAAAATAAAAAAAATTTATCAAAATGAGGAATTGAAAGTAAACATGTATTCTATTATGGTTTATGAGCATGCGGGTTCAAATTTGGTAAAAATGGACTTAAAATGAAGGAGAAATTGAAGAAATAATGAAATCAATGACTAAATCGTAAAACTGTCAAAATACTTAGACAAAATTTTATTTTTTCGAGTAACTCGAAAATTCAAAATTTCAACTCCACTCGAACTTGAAAATCGAATTATAATTCGAGTTGACTCGAATATCTCAAACAATTCGAAATTAAACAAAAAGGCAATTTTTTGGGTTTTAATTTCACTTGACTGTTGAAAATCCAAAGGATCCCAATATCAATTACTTCCGAAGGCGTTGAATTTATGAATTGGCCCCTAATGTTTTCAAGTTTTTCGGTTCTCACCCCAGCTAATTTATTGGTTCTGGAGTCTTTACTTTCGATATGGACGATGAACTTAAAAGGACTAAACGATGTAGTTTTGGGTTCCAAAAACGTGGGAGGCAATGTTTTCTTTTGATATGGGGATTAGGGGTGTAAACGAGCAGAGTCGAGTTCTAGTATCGCTGGACATGTCTCTTCGTGTCTTTCGTTGCAATTCTGCCTACCATTTTAATATTCTAGTGAATTAAAAGGCTTAATACAAGAAAAAGTGTTCAAATTATACCTCTTTTCCTGAAGTAATTCTTAAATATTTTTCGATCAATTTATGCGTCTAACGTTATCATTTTTGATGTCCTGATCATAACGGTCGTTAAAAAATCCACTGAAGAAACATATGTCACTTTTTGGTAATTTTGAAATTTTATTAAAATATTATATATATATATATTAGAAAAACTATAGTTTTTTTTTAAATTATAAAAAAGCACCAAATCACTGAAAATCTCAAATCTCTAACCCTAACTTAGCCTCTCTTATTAACCATGACCACCAAAGTCGATGTCGCCTGTCATTATTAGTTTTGCTATCGATATGGTTGTTAGAGTCGTCGTGTGTTGCGAATCACATGGGTGTCGTGGTTTGAAAAGCCAAACATTTAAATTGAATTGGTGTCGGGATTTGTCAGGTTCTAAGTTTTGGGTGGCCGGAATCATCTTGTCGTTAGCTTGAGGTTTGATTGGGTTGGGGTTTGACTTTAACGGCAGCCCAAACGATGGCCGACGTTGGTATAGGATTGAAATTAAGATTTTTCAAAGTCTTTAGGTTTTTCTTAAGATTTTTTTTAAATTGGGATTTTTTAAATAAATAATAATAATCTTTTAAATAAAATTCTAGAAATTACCAGAGCATGATACGTGTCACTTAATGAAGTTTTTTAACGGCCGTTTAGGTCGAGACTCCCATAGTGATAACGTTTGTAACGTCAAACATCTAAATGCATCTAAATAAAATCTAAACACCACTTTAAAAAAGTGATGTAGCTTGAACACTTATTTCTAATTAAGCCAAATCAAAATAAACGACGATACATCATGGGTTCGGAATAAAAATACAAAGAACGATAAATCCAAATGGTACAATCTGTTTTTTGGTTTATTTTAGTTATAAAAATAGATTTAAGTGTTGAGGGTGGAGTAAAAAATATTCTGATGATTTATCTTTTTTAGAATTAAAATAATATGTAAATATTAAAGGTTATGTTTTGTATTGCTTGTCCAGCTCAGTTGGTAGAGCACAAGGCTTTTAACCTTTTGGTCATGTGATCGAGTCCCACGGTGGGTAATTCATAATTATCGGAGGTCTTCCGCGGAAGTTGCTCACAACCTAGCGTTGGAGCAACCTACTACCTACCTCTCCCTTACCCCATTACATATGGGAATAGGGTAAACTAATTTTATTAAAGGTTATGTTTACTTATAAAAAATTACTAACGTCACACGCTTCTTGTGTTAAAAATTAAATAAAATAGATTATTTTACAATTTTCAATTAGTTAAATGGTTAATTTCATAATATTTTTATAATCAGATAACCCAATAATAAAATACTCTATAGTTACGAAACTATTTTTATAGTTCACCTAAATTATTTTATTTGTCTAGAGAATGTTTGCGAACTTTATATATATTTCGGTGTGGAGTCAAATAGGGGTACAAAGAAACAAGTTCGAGGCATTAAAGAAAGAAAACATTTCGGAAGACAAATGGTATAACAAAAAAATTTCTTTATTAGTATGAAGTAATTATAAAATAATATCTAGTCAAAGAATTTCAAATCATTGGACAATAAACATTTAAATACTTGTATAGAAGTGTGTTTAAACTTGTTCACACACAAAATGAACATCCAGGTCTAGATGCTTAATTTTCACATGCAAAATCGGATTGGCTGCCATAGCAACTGTATTAGTGCTGTCACACCAAACAATGACCATATGAGAACTGGATAATTGCATATCCTATAGAAGAGCTTTGACCCAGATGATTTCGAATGTAGCATTAGCTAAGCTCAATACTCAGCCTCAGCAATAAATCTAGACACAAATCTTTGCTTCCTTGAGATGCATGATAACAAGTGTTGTCCCAAAAATATGCAGTAACCAGAAATAGAATGTAGATCATTAGGGCCACTCCCTAAATCAACATTAGAGAATCCTACTAAACTAAATTTTTTTTTGTGTTGAGGATCTATCCATAAGCCAAAATCCATAGTCCCTTTTGAGTAGGGTAGAATACGTTTAACAGCCGGTCAATGTACCTCAAAAGATTCTTACATTACGTTTAACTCGAAAAAAGACATTTACACCCTATGATCTTACGATTAGAGGAAAGAGAAACAAACTCCCACATAAAATCATCATGTTTGTCGAATAAGTTCGATTCAACATCTTCAATTTTTCAATAAAGATAACAATCATCACTTCAACCACTAATACAATAAAAATGTTTAAATATATATTTGAAATTTAAATTGTACATAATTCTTTTAAGTTGGTATTTAAAGAATTCTTACAGAAGTTATAATTCAAACTTTAATTCTATTAAATGTTTTGATATTTTTATTAGGGTAAATTACAAATTTAATAACTAAACTCTTATATGATTTTTATTTTACTAATTGTATTTTCAAAATTTTTAATTTACTCACTTAATTTTATGAATTAAACTTTTTTTTGTCATATCACTAATAGCTTGTTGATGTAAAATATTTTAATATTAACATGCCACTTCGTATTTCCACATAATAATAATAATAATTAAAATACCTAAATCCATAGCCTAACCCCCGATTCCCACTCGGCCCCATTTAGATTCTGGACTGAGTGCCACTCCATTTTCCGACGATATGCAAGCCGAAAACCTTCCCTTGCTTCGCTCGTTCGGACGCCGGTAAGAGCAACCGAAAAGCATGCCTTGGAAACTTGTCGCCGTTGACGAAAGGCTGCATCATGGAAACAAAAATGAATCACTCGGCATCGGTAAACTCGTCGTCAAAGGCATCGCCGGTGGGAAAACTTTTGTATGTTCTGGTTCTTTCCATGTTTGTTTTCTGGAAATCGTATTGAAACTTTATGAAATTGCTCATTGTTGCACTGCCTTTTTTTTAAATGATATTTATGTTCAAAATCCATAACCCTTATCGTGAAAGGAAAAGTGGATGAAGAGGAATCCAGTAACATGGAAGAAGATGAACAGATTTTGGGGAAATAGGTTGAAGAAGGTAAAGGGTTGGAGCCGTGACAGGGGCTTGGAGTTGAGGTTAAGTTTTTAGGTGTTTAAATTATACTTAGAATTAAATAAAAGTAGAATGAGTAAAATAAAAGATAGTCTAATTACTAAATTTGTAATTTACATTTTATTTTTTTCCTGACCTGTCATGCCTTTTGTCTTTTAACGATTAAAAAAACCATTTCTTCAAGTCACATCATAACGGCGTGATAAGTTCAACGGCACAATGATCAGAAAAGTTTAATCCATAAAAATGATTGAGTAAATTGAAAATTTTGAAATTACAGTAAATAAAACAAGAATCGTATGAAATTTAAGTTATCGAATTTGTAATTTACCCTTTTTATTAATGATATTAGCTTTTGAAGTCTCAATACCATCTTCACTAGTTTTCTCGTGCTAACTTCCGAAGGCCAAACCTTTCCTTCAGCATCCTCAACCGATTCCTCCATTGTTGCTTCACTAACTGCTTTTAGGAGTAACTTCTAATGATGGAGGCCTTGCTTCATAGTGGTTTGCTGCCGTTTCTAGAGCTTCTTCACTATCTTCGTTTGTTGCAGTGCTTGCTAATGATTGCGGCTTTGCTTCAATATCTATGGCTTTGATCTTTAAAGCTTCTTCACCGACTTTGTTTAATGATGCAATCTCTAATGACTGCAGTTTCTCCTTATAATCCTTGATTTCAGCTTTTGCAGCTTCCATGATATCTTTAATTGCTTCAAAATCTCCGATTTCGGTTCCCGCACCATTTTCAGTAACCTTGTTGGTGTCACTAGCTTCCAGAAATTCAACATTTGCTATGGTCTTTGCAGCTTCATCAACTTTGTTTGTTGCGCCAACTTTCAACGGCCCAAGCTTTGCATCGAGATCCTTGACTTTGTATGTTAGAGATCTCACATCTCGGATGTTTGCTAACTTCGTAGAATAATTCTGTAGTGAAGAAAAGGGATGCACAAAATAAGAAGAGCAGAGCAACATGTCATTTTATGTCAATGACTTTTTTGTCTTCTCAAATAATTCAAAATGATGATTTTCATTTCATTCCTACTCCACCATGTATGGTTAATGCCGGAAATTTGGAGTTGAGCTTCACCCTAGACTTTCATACATTCCAATGTCATTATGATTGCTTGATGAGAATTTATTCAAGCTAAATATATGTGCATTAGCAAATCATCCTAATTGCATAGTGATCTTGATAACCTAAATCTTGCAGGCATCTTTTACATGATTTCCATTAATATTTTATAAGCTGATTCAAAATTTCCAGTTCAATAATTGAAGTATAAATCAACTGATTTAGTTCACCACATCGGGTTAGTAAAGCTTTCTTCAGTTATGATTATTTTGAGTTAGAAACTAGAATTAGTCATAAAAGTTATGGTTTTAAATGATTCTATAGTCTTTCACCATGATGTTTCATGAAATGGTCTTGCAAACAAATGACAAAGAAAGATATGCAGTGCTTTAACAGTAGTAATTTATATAAACTGGTTGCCTGTAGATGCAAAAAAAAAAAAAAAAGTATTTGGGGTGAGAAATCATCAATCATATCTTAACTCACCTGTTGTAGCTGCTCCACTCGTTTTCTTAGAACCTCTACAGATGCTTCCTTGTGAATGACTTGAAGAATGAATAGCAGGTGAGAATGGAGGTCTGAGAAACAATGTTCTTCACTTTTACATTGGGGTAATGGAGATTTGCAACCTGCTGAATAAAAAGGGCAGTTCACAAGCTTCATCGGGCAGGTGGTTATGCAGTGTCTGTCCATGTGATGTCGCATGAGGTTAGCTGGGCACTTTTGTTCACAAGGAATTACTTTGAAAGCGCACACTGAATCATGCTTCTCCATCTGACTAGCTGAAAATCTGGCATGACACCCTTCATTTTGGCAGGTCCTTGGTCTATATTTACAAGTTGGCATATGTTGATCAAGTTCATCTGCTGAATAAAATTTCATGTCACAGTGAAATTCATTCTTCAGGTCAACATTCTTCATCAAAGTTTGTGCAATCTCTTCTCTGTTGTCTATTGACCAAAATCCATTAATTTCCATTTCTTGTGCAAAATCATCTATATTGTCTTCTCTGTTATCACTTTGTAACCATCCTGAAACTCGACTGAACAAATTCCTCTTTGTACTTGCAAATTCATTAATCAAGTAAGCAATGATATCATAAGGATGGTCATATGCTTCAACCTCAAGACCATCATCCAAGACAACAGATTCGGCCACAAAGGTTTCACTTCTTTGCATTAGATACTCCACCATTTCTTTTCTAATTTCAGCCGCTACTGAAGCAGGGGCCTTGAAAACGTCACCGGTAGTACTGTCGACACAAGCTGTAGCTAACCCTGGGAGGAATGCTCGAGCTATGTTGTAAACTACTTTTGCATCACAAAGCTGGCAGTAAAATGTAGGACCACCCTCTTTTTCATCCTTGACCTTCTCTGGTGTAAGTTCGACATCATTTCGAGGAAGATCAGTGAACGGAGATGCCTGCAAAAATGGTGTTACCTACAACATTTCATTACCTGTTCGATAATAAACTTAATCTGGCAACTAAAAAAGAGTAGTAGAATTAACATCAGTAAATCCAGTAAGCCCATTAGGAATGAGAAAACATATCCACCAAGCTTCTACTACAAAAACAAAGACATGAACTCGAGTTTGGTCCAGTTGATTCGTGCAGAAGAGAAATGGGGCAATTCGACCTCTTGTTTATCAGTGAAATATATTCCTAAAGCTATTTGGCAACTCCTTCCCTAATCCCAAGCTACGATTTCATTTGTAGAACAGGATAATTCAGCATTTTGTATAGGTAAGTAGATTTCTCTGAAAACATAGCCTATCATCAAAATAAAAACTTTATCTGCGAAATTTTATTCCACTAAATACTTGATAATTAGAAGGGTTAAATAAAATTAAGTACTTCTAACAACCAATTAACTCTGCAAATTATACTTGTTTGTTGTTGCAATGTATCGTCATGTGGAGACCTTCACCCAAATCGTCCACACCCAAAATCACAAGACCAGCAAACAGTTCTGTTTCTCTCTTTAACATTAAACATTTAAAGAAAACCCAAGTTCTTTCAAAGAAGCTTGAATTTCATACGAAAACAAGTTGAACTGCAACAATTCGTTTAATTTCTATAAGAAGTGGAAATATCATGTCATAAATCCAACGATTTGCAAGTCAATTGCTTGAATTCCCCCAATGTGAAATTAAAAACCTTGAAATGCATCAAAATCGTAATCTTAAAAGGATGGTAATGGAAGAACAAAAAATCACAGTATGTATAATCATTCAAGTAATCACATATAGCACAAAAAGTAACAAAAAAGAGAAATACCTCCATTTTGAAATGCCTAATAAAACCTTGGAAATCGAGAGGCACAAAGGATTTAACCTTGACAATTGACCTGTTGAATTCTCATTTTCTTTATAAATAGAGAAAATAAAATATGAATGAGAGCCTTGTTTTCACTCCCAATATTTACCTGCTCTAACCATCTCTTGCCTTTTATTTTACCTTCACCGAAATAATCTCGGCGTTATATTGACCTGTTGAATGCCTTTTATTTTGCCTTTGATTTTCAATATAATTTTGTTTTCGTTAAAAGTACTAGGATAAACAACATTTCTGGTCACCCAACTTTGATTATGTTTATGTTTTAATCACTTATCTTAAATGAATTATTTTCATCATTTTATTTTTTCCCCTCTTGACTAGAGGTGCTTATCGAGCAAGTCGATCACAAGTTGGATGCTCAACTCATGTCCGTTAAAAAAAATTTATTGCTCGACTCAACTCGACTCGTTAAAATTTTGCTTAACTCGTTACTCGTTAAACTCACCGAAATTTTTACTTTATTTTTTAACTATAGATAAAATTTGATAATAATATATATAGCTTAATATAAACATAAATTAATAAATTAACAAAAAAATTATATGAAGCACTTTCAAAATCTAAATTTTAAAATAACAATATACAAATATGTTAAAATAATAAATCAGGTTTGACTTCTAGGTGTAGTAAAACAATAATTATTAATTAATAATTTATTATTCTTTTGTTGTTTATTAAAAATTAATATACTAGTAATTTATCATATTTTTTATTATCTATTTGTAACACCCCCAACCCGTACCCGACCCGGATATGAGTCAGAGATATTACATTGACTTTTAAAACACAACTCTTAACCAATAATAGCAAAATATTTGAACTTATATTAAGAAAATACGATAATATACATATTGTAATATAAGTTTACCAAAATATTCAGAGCATACACAACTTAACCCTTTAATTACATGCCAACTGCCATTTACATAACAAAATGACCTACTGATTAAGTTGCTTATGATCTGGTGGTTGCAGGAGTAATGCTGTCAAGCTGCTTCACCTGTCTCGTCTACTTTCTCGGATCCTACGTGTGAAACACTCACACGCTAAGTCATTGACTTAGTGAGGCAATGTAATAATAATAACAAGGCAATGTAATGAAAATGTCATAATCATATGAAATGAGATGGAAGCATGTACTTAATCAATGTAGTCTACATCATCAATATCCATACCTGTAAGCATATTACTTTAACATTCATGAATTTGTATTAATAAGTTTATTGGCTCATGATATCATATTGAGAACCTAAGGTATATGAGTAATGTGAGGTTGTGCACTATGCTGTCACCACAGCTCGTATAAATGCACCGAAGTGCCGCGTAAAATTGCACCGTAGTGCCATATAATAATGTCCATAAGGACCACATAGAATTCCTTAAGAATCATATACATATGCTAGGGATCACATATGTGTCTCACCAGACTTCACACATGTTCCAAAGAATATATATATCCCGAAGGACCGCGTAGAATATTGTCCCGAAGGACCGCGTAAACCCTCTACCCTTGGCATGCCAACTATACCTATAGTTCTCATCTACATAACATGGGCTTTTACATTTCACGTAGTCTATATCGCGTAGACATGTAAATTCTTACCTTTTCACATAGCTCATAACTTTTCATGCATATTCATGTCATATAATTCATGTTATATGAATTCATGTCATGTCTCATAATACAGAATATGATCATGTACCAAGATATAAAATCTAGACTTATCACAAGTCTAGAATTGAGTATATTTCTATAATTATGCTATGCTTATGCACACACCTATATTTCTTTGTCTTTTCCTTGATCGATCCTACTTGTAGATTATTCCTGAACTCGTGTAGGCTCAGTATCTACATAAACATAATTTTCAAGATGATTATCAGATGTCTATGTCTTGAAATTAATCTTTAATAGCCTACCAATTTAAGGAATTAATAGTTTAGTCTTTCTCCTTTTTTTTATATGGGGGAATCGGTTCCCCCCCTGGGGGTATCGATTCCCCTCTAGCATTATGGAAATTCATATACGTTGAGGGGGTATCGATTCCCCTTGAATGGGTATCGATTCCCCTAGCCCAGAAATCCTATTTTGAGCTCGAAAATAATCTAACTTCAGCTCAAACATTCATATTTCACTCCCTTTAATACTCTTAGCTTTCATACACTTACTTAAACTAATTATTATCCATTCAATACCTCTAAAACTAAAAAAAACTAATCATCCATATAGAATTTAAGAATCTTACTCAAATTCCAACTTGTTCTAATTTTAATTCTATCACTTCATACTTCTTAATTAACTTATTGACAAGTCAAAAATCTTATTCAAACTTCAAAAACTCATCCATATCAAAATTTCATCTAAAAACTCATTTTCCAAATCTATCTCTAAAACACTTATCTTGTTGTCTTAATGTCATATAAGCTTTCCTTTAGCTTATATAACATCCAAACTTCAATTTCCAAGCTAAAAATCAAAGAAACTACCAAGGTTCAGATTCTTACCTTAAACTTGGTCTTCACGTTTGGAAGAAGAGAAGAGTGAAGAAGAGAAATGTCTGGAACCTTGTTTCCTACTCAAGTCCCACATGGGTTATAATATATCCCCATAAAAATTTTTAATTAATTTTTTCCTTGCAAATGACCATTTTGTCCTTAATTTCATTTCATATTTACTAACAATTATTTTTAAACTATATTATTATTCTACTTTAATCACCAAATTCTGAATTTTTACAATTTAGTCACTAATCCGTTACTTAGGATGTTACAAATCTCTCCCCCTTAAGAAAATTCGTCCTCGAATTTTCATTGCACGAACAAATGAGGGTATTGATGTCGCATATCTTCTTCACGCTCTCACGTTGCTTCTTCTACTTTGTGATTTCTCCACAACACTTTGACCAAAGGAATAATTTTATTCCTTAGTTGCTTCACCTCGTAAGCTAATATATGAACATGTTCTTCCTCATACGTCAAGTTAAGTCGAACCTCAATCTCTTCTGGTGTCACGATATGAGAGGGATCAGATCTATATCTTCGAAGCATTGAAACGTGAAAGACATCATGTATCTTTTCCATCTCATGTGGTAAAGCTAGCTGATATGCTACAGGTCCTACTCTCTTTACAATCTCATATGGTCCAATAAACCGAGGACTCAATTTTCCTTTTCGACCAAATCTCAACACCTTCTTCCATGGAGACACTTTTAAAAACACTTTATCTCCAACTTGAAATTCAATTTCTTTCCTTTTAAGATCAGAATAGGACTTTTGCCGATCAGAGGCCACTTTGAGATTATGCTGAATTTCTCGAACTTTCTGTTCTACATCTTGAATTAAATCTGGACCAAGAACACTTCGGTCTTTGAGTTCATACCAATTTAATGGAGTACGACATTTTCTTCCATATAATGCTTCATATGGGGCCATCTTTATACTAGACTGATAACTATTATTGTAAGCGAACTCTGCCAGCGGTAAATACTTTTCCCATGATCCTTTAAATTCCATTACGCATGCTCTCAACATATCTTCCAATATCTGAATAGTTCTCTCTGATTGCCCATCAGTCTGAGGATGAAAAGCCGTACTAAAGTTTAAACGAGTCCCCAACACTCCATGCAAAGATTTCCAGAATCTATAAGTGGATCGAGGGTCTCGATCAGAGACTATGGAAACATGTACTCCATGCAATTTAATAACTTCTCTAATATACAACTCTGCATACTTTTCCATAGAGAAATCCGTTCTAACCGGAAGGAAATGCGCTGACTTAGTTAATCGATCAACAATTACCCATATTTATTCTCTTTTGTTCGGAGTCAAGGGTAACCCTGAAACAAAATCCATCGTAACATTTTCCCATTTCCATTGAGGAATGAAAAGCGGTTGCAATAATCCTGATGGAACTTGATGCTCGGCTTTGACTTGTTGACATGTCAAACACTTAGACACAAATTCGTTGATGCTTTGTTTCATCCCTGACCACCAAAATCGATCCTTCAAATCCATATACATCTTGGTTCCACCCGGGTGCATCGTTAACGGACTGCAATGAGCCTCTGCTAATATTTATTTCTTCAAGTCGTCATTGTCGGGTATTACAATTCTTCCTTTACAATATAGATTTCCATCTGACTTAATCTCAAAGTCTTTAATCTCTTTGTTCTTTACTTGTTCAATTCTTTTCAAACACACTTCATCTTTACTTTGTAATTCTCCTATTCGTTCCAACCATGCTGGTTTAAGGGTTAATTCTGCACAAAGACCACCGTCTCCCGTTAAAGATAATCTTGCATCCATAGCTCGTAAAGCTGCAAACGTCTTTCTACTCAAAGCATCTGCTACCACATTCGCCTTTCCGGGATGATAGTCAATTATCACATCATAATCTTTTAAGAACTCTACCCATCTACGTTGCCTAAAATTCAATTCTTTTTGAGTCATCAGGTACTTCATGCTCTTATGATCCGTATATAAGTAACAACGCTCCCCATAAAGATAATGACGCCAAATCCTGAGAGCGAATACTACAGCAACCATTTCTAAATCATGAGTGGGGTAATTCCTTTCAAGTGGTTTCAACTGTCTCGATGCATACACTACCACCTTTCCTTCTTGCATTAATACACACCCCAACCCGTTATGGGATACGTCACTGAATACTACAAAATTCTTGCCAGATTCCGGTTGAACCAATATCGGAGTTTCCGTCAGAATTCTCTTTAAAGCTTCGAAACTTTCTTGACATTCAGAAGTCCAAACAAATGGTACGTTCTTTCTCATTAGCTTTGTTAGAGGCAGCACAATCATCGACAAATTCTTAACGAATCTTCGATAGTAACCGGCAAGTCCAAGAAAACTCCGAACTTCAGACACATTCTTAGGAACTTCCCAATCCATTATAGCTTTAACCTTCTGAGGGTCTACTCTAATCCCAACTG